CTCCTCTTACTCCTACTCCTACTCCTCCTGCTCCCACTTATACTCCTACTCCTACTCCTCCTGCTCCCACTTATACTTCTACTCCTACTGCCACGGCTGCTACCACTGCTACTGCCAGGCTACTGCCACACCGTCCAGCTTCCCAGCCCGAGCGCAAACCGCGATCCGATAACCACTACTTGGAGGTTCATGGGTAGTTACAAATGGGGTGATAAGGGGTTCCTTTAAGGGTTCCTTTAAAGGGTTCTATGGGGTTTAAGGTTTAGGGTTTGGAGGTTCATGGGTGGTTATAGGTGGGGTTATAAGTCAGGTAACTATAACTATAAACCATATCAGGGGACTTAAAACCATACTTATAACTTCCCATGAACCTCCAAGTACTGTATCACCGGAACCCGCGAAGTCTTGACTCGCAAGCCCCAGCTGCTGACTAAGACTCAGCACCCAGAAATAAAACTCTAAACCTTTTGATGTAGGGCAGAATTATGGCTTGAGGTTTAGGGTTTGAATATCCTAGAAGCCGCAAACAGGCTCTTAAGCCCCAAACTCCAGGAAACCCTAGAAAGTCATAGTTTAGGCCTAAACCCGTCTCAAAACTTTGTTTTGCTGTGCTATGACCCTAATTAGACCTTAAGGGTTGAAATCCTAATACAAGCGATCGCACCTTACAAGCTATATCAAACCATTATAACCCTAAACCTAAGCCTTAAGCTGCGAAATCCTAGTACACCTTACAAGCGCAGTTATAAACCCCTAAACCCTCAACCCTAAACCTTATGCCAGCAGCGCCTGCTGCAGTGCGCGGTTCTCGCATTTCGAGGCCTCCAGCTCCTCCAGGAGGTCGTCCCGCTCCTGGTCTTAAGTTTGTTTCTGGTTCGGATTTGGGGGTTTCCCAAAATAGGGACCCTAATATAATACACTAAAGAATAGGATCCTTATTATAAGGACCCCAAAATAAGGTACCCCCTATTTTCGGAAAGTCCCATTTAGGGTTTGGGACTAGGAGGTGGAGGTTTTGGGGGCTGAAGGTTGTTTGGGTGTGAGGTTAAGGAAAGTTTAAGGCTTGTCTGCCCACACAGCTTTCGTCTTGGGGTGTAGGCTACATGGTGTAGGCTTTAGTCAGTGCTTATGGCGCATCCTTAGACCCAAAACCTAGCTGAGAAGCAGAAGTCCTGAACGTTCAGGGATTGTGGTATCATACTGGCTGGATAGCACCTATGACCAAAGTTTCAATGATGATTCCAAATTTCGAACAACAATAGTAACTAAGGAGTAACCCAGGTAATTGCTAGGGCTTCTACATTATGGGCTTTGTGTTTCAGGCCCCTAGAAACCCGAGATGCCAGACACCCCAAACGAGCGAAGGAAGGCTTTAAACGATGCTGGTGGACAACAAACCCTAAACCCCAAGCCCAAAACGGGCCTAATTAGGCCGTTCAAGGGCTAAGGATTTAGGATGTTCTTATAAGCCTCCAAGCCTGGGATGTCAAAAATAGGTGCCCTTAAGCCTTAAGAAGAACAGGTCTATGGCTTCACGGTAAAGCTAGGCAGGAAATGTGCAGTAATAACCTGGCCCAGTGCTAACCGCTCGAAAACCATACAAGAACCAATCTTCAGGGAGCACTGTTGCTGTTGTCCAGGCCACCGCGGATCGTATTTGCCGAAACCCCATAAACGGCTCCTTCTCCAACGCGGTGATGCGTCCGGAGAAGATCTCCACTTCCTGGTTGAGGTTTTGTTAGTTAGTATGGCCCCTATATTACCTCGAAATAGTTCTCGTAACGGCGAAGGCTCCCAAACGCCAAACCCTCTCGTAAGGTGTCTTTACACACAGAAGTACGTAGATGTGCAGGTATGTGCGCGCATACATAAATCCGTACATGCATGCATGCATGCATACAAGCTTACTGACATACTCCACAACAGAACTTGATCTGAGAGCATTTGCCAGAGTCGCCAAAGATCCATGATGAAGACTCTGTCGCTCAATGGGGGTTCTAGATTCCAGCAGGCTCTTGGGACGAAGTGTACCTGCAAGACTTGCAAACAATGAGAACTCCAAACACCAAACCACAAAACCCTGAACCCCGCAGCCCTCAAAGTTCGAAAATCATCTGGGCCCTCTGCCTTAAAGATCGGTTGAACTCTAATGACCGCCCAAAACCCCTAAACCCGGCCAACCCCTTGCAGCTTAAGACCATGCCTACCGCTTCCTAAAGCTCTCTAAAACATAAGCCCTAAACCCTAAACCCTAAACCCCTAAACCCTAAACCATTTGGGATCTTGAGGTTCTCCAAACTTACCTTGGTGCCTTCTGAAAACTAAGCGTATGCGGGGGTAGTTCTCTAAATTAGAGTCACCTTTTGTCGGCTCTCCAAATAGTACGGCACCCTTTTGAAAGGGACCCCAAAAGGGACTCTGATGTAGAGAACTACCCACGGGGAATTAAAGAGCTACGGGTGTTTATCAGGGTTTCAAGTTTAAAAACCTGTCGACCCTGTGCCTTGTGCGCAGCCGCGCAACGCTCCTCCGCCGCGGTACAGCGGGCCTGTGAGAGGTAAGGGCCTTTTGACTCGGGAGGGTTTAGGGTTTTAAGGGTTTTAGAGTGTCAGGTTTGAAGGTTCAAGTCTCTCTTCTTCAACAACCAGGTCCAAAAAAGTGCAAACTTTCTAGGGTAGACCTAATATACAAGACAAAAAAGTTCAAAGTTCTCCCTTTGGCTATCAGAAGTTCTCCGAGAATTTCAGGTTTTAGGGCTCAGGGGCATAAGTCTTAAAGTTTTCGTGATTTAGAATTAAACGGTTGGGGGTTCACGGTTTACCTGGAAGAGTTTAAGAAGCATTGACAGAGGAGCTGTCAGGCTTCATGAAAAGTCTTCGTAAGGGTTGCATGATGATTAAGAGGTCGTATTGGCCCGAAACCCCAAACTCTAAAACCCTAAAGCCCCAAAGCCTTGTCCCTAAAGCCTAAAACTGAATTTTTAGGCTTTGAAGGGTTTGGGCATTGTAGGAGGAGGGCACTGACCGGGTGGCTGAGCTCCACCATTGCGGTGGAGGGCTTGGCGGATCCAGGAGGATCGAGCAGGAACCTACAGCTGCAGGAGGGTGAAGGACCCCTCCATCTCTCATCACGCCTCCTCAAGTGGCTCCAGGATTCCGATTATAATACCTGTTACTACTGTTATGAATATAAAGATTATAATGTTACCACTACCATTGTTATTGCTCTTATGATTATACAGATGAATGGTTCTTACTAGAACTATCGTGCCGGCATATCCAACCGATCAGCCCCCGAGTCGGATGCGCCAGTGTCTCGAAGGACCAATCTGGCGTTTGAAAAATGAAAGACGGTTTAGGGTTTAGGGTTTAGGGTTTAGGGTGTGGGAACCTGATTAAGTAACCCTGGCCCTAGAACCCCAATATATGAGGGCTCATATTAAGAGCCTAAGTGAAGTACCAGGGTTTCTGAAGCAGGTTCCTGCATTAGGCCGTGAAGTGGTATGCTGAGCTGCCCTCTCGACCCATGCTCTTGAGGCACTTGGAGGTTCATGGGTAGATATAAGTGGGGTTATAAGCAAGGTAACTATATTATAACCCATATTAGGGGACTTATAACCATACTTATAGCTACCCATGAACCTCCAAGCAGCCAGCTCCGCCTTCTCCTGGATCGAGCCGTGCATTCGGGTTGCGTCGCTCCACGGCGCTCCAGTTGAAAGTCGGACGACGATGCGTCCTTGCCGGACCACCGTCGCGGCGAGCTCCTGGAATCTCTGCGACATCTCAGCCTCGGCGCCGTGATGAGGAATCTTCAAAATCATCCTGATACTCATCGCTAACCCTGTGAACGAAGCCCGACGGTGCCGGATCGAAAAGAACGCAGTATATGAGCCTTAGTCATTAGACTACGTAGGCGTCGGGGGTATCTTGTACCATCACTACATGAAGGAACCCTACGGAATAGGTTCTACATGCAAGCCTTACACCCCGCCCCAAGACCCTAAACCCTAAAACCGATATTGCAGAACCTTTGTAGAAGTCTCATAGTAACCCTTTAAAGAACCTTTAAGAGGAATCCTTCTGGAAGTCTCATACTAAACCTTGTAAGAGCCCTTAACAGAACCCTAAACCCTAAACCCTAAAACCCATATTGCAGAACCCTTGCTTCAGTCTTATAGTAAACCTTTAAAGAACTCTCAAACCATAGTAACCCTATGTAGGCTCCAGTAACGGAACCCTAAACCCTAAACCCTAAACCCAAAACCCTAAACCCAAAACCCTAAACCCAAAACTCTAAACCCTAAACCCGAAACCCTAACGGAACCTTTAAGGAAACCAAGCTCGCCAGTCTTTTGCCCAATCAGGAAGGCCTTGGCTTCGGCTGTGGCCGCAGCGCGGGCTTCCGAAGTCTTCACCACCTTTTCTGGTCTACGATTTGAGGGCTTAAGGGTTTAAGCCTTGAGGGTTTCAGGGGTTTTGGGAATTATAGTTAAGAGTAGGATCTTTCAGGACTATTTTAGGGTTTAGGGGCTTGGGTTTTAGGGCCGGGGTTTTGGTTTATGTTATGTTGCGTGTTGCTGTCTTTTGTTGACAGCTCTTCCGGCCTTGAGGTGCGAGCTTTACTCTGTTGCCGCTGGTTAGCGGCTTGGGGTTTAGGGTTTAGGGTTTCAGGTTTGTCGGGCATTCGGGTATTCTTTCTTTGAAGGAGCAGATTTGCAGATTTTACGGTTTTGCAGCTGAGGGTTTGAGCTCGTTTGAAACGAGGTAGACTTCCTTTCACCCTGAACCCTACACCCCAGATCTTGTGGCTGGTTGCTCAAGCGATCTGCTGTGGGGATGTGCCCTCTTGAGACCGACTCGTCCACAGCTCTTGCGCTTTTAGGGTTTAGGGTTTATGCACCATCTTCAAATTTGAACTGACTCTCAAGGTTTCATGGAGGATCTATGGTCGTCAGTGCTTCGATTTATGTGCCTTAGCCGTGGAGAGCTGGAGGAAGCGGCATAGGGAACATGTTAAGTAGTATTCAGTAGCTGTCTGATTAGAGCCCTAAACCTTAAGCCTTGAGCCCTGAACCCAAACCCTGAACCAACTGCAGCAAGGGTTTCCGGCTTGTTTCCTACCCCCGATGCGCAAGTTCTGCATTTCCGGTTGCTTAGTACACTGCCAGATAATCCGCCGCCCACTGTCAATGACGATGAAAGGTATTTGTTCACGGATGGGTCCACAGAGTATGGTAAGACATGTGTCTTGGCTTTCAGTTCCTGGTCTTTGATGTTGGCTACCATGGGTAAGCCCGATTTTGTGTGTGTTGCATCTGGCTGCCTCCCAAGGGTCGTGAACACGAAAAATCGCGCGGAGCTGTATGCGATTTGTCAAGCATTGCTCATTGCAAGGGGTGGTCATGTATGTATGTATATATATATATATATATATGTATATATATGTTTATTTATTTATACATACAGACAGCAAATACTGTGTCGATGGGTTTCGGAAGTTGCAACTTTCTGGTTGGATCGAAAATGATTGGGCGCGTTCTGAGAGTTATGATTTGTGGAAACGTGCTTGGGGTGAACTCACTGGCAGATTTGGACGGTCAACCCATGGGCGAATTGAGGATGCATTGTCAGACGATGATGCGTGGTGCATTCTTCACAATGACGCGGCTGATAAGCAGGCCAAGCAAGCAAGCCGTGAAAGGAGTGAGAGTTTCAAGCAGAACCATTCGCAGCTTCTGTCTGTGCGCAATATTGAGTGTGGTCTTCGTGAGAAGCTGTGTGCTTTACAGAAGCAGCTCTCACAAACAACGTGCTTGAGTGTAGGTATCCCAGGCAAGTCTGGTGTTGATG